AAGTTAGATGCCCAGCCTCTCCTGAGGTTGCCCTCATGAGCTTTGATCCTGATTTGCTCCCTAACTCCTTCAACAGAGTGCATATCCCAGTCTTTACCAGTCCCCGTGGGTCCTGGGGGTGGAAGTCCCCCGAAGGCCCAACAGTTTCTCTGGGAACCTTTAATGTGGTGGGGCCTGTGCATTGCATTTCAAACTGCTTGTGTTTAATCCTGGCCAAGCCACTTACTACTAGCTGTGTGACCTCAAGTGAATTGTGTCAACTGTCAGGTCTCTGTAAAACAGGAATAATAGTCGTTGCGATAGTTTGCAGCATTCAGCTATTTTTTTGTAACTTTTTTTTAATAACGTTTTAAATTTATTTTTGAGAGACAGAGCACAAGTGGGGAAGGGGCAGAAAAAGAGGGAGACACAGAATCCGAAGCAGGCTCCAGGCTCTGAGCTGCCAGCACAGAGCCTGACGCGGGGCTTGCACCCTCGAACTGCAAATCATGACCTGAGCAAAAGTCAGATGCTCAAGCGACTGAGCCACCTGGGCACCCCAGTACTCAGCTATTTTTAAGTTCTGAAATGTTGGTGTTTTGTTGGTGTGATATGGTTAACCTATGTAGGATGATCTGAATATGAGTAATTTTTAGGTTGAGATTAAGGTCAGTGATTTAAATAGTCAATTTCTGTGAAAAGGCATACCGATACTCTACAAATCTGTACAGTCCGCTCCTGTGTCAATCTCAGTGAGCATCTGTGTTGAGCTACTGCAAAGCTTCTGTTACAAGCATGTTACTGTAGGTCAGAGACTTTCCATACAAATGAATAGGAGTATGAGAAAAATTGAAATTGACTCATGGAATTCTCCCATCTATATATGATGAAAGTAAAGAAGAAAACAGAGTACTGAATATGCTTTGTTTATAACCAAAACTGTAGCTCGCTAGCACTAAAAACATGCAGACTTTCCCTGTCTCTCTACCCCTTTCTTGCTCCTACTCTGTGCTCTGTCTCTCTCTCTCTAAAATAAATAAACATTAAAAAAATTAAATGGGTGGCTGGGTGGCTCAGCCTGTTAAGTATCTGACTTCAGCTTGGGTCATGATCTCCCGGTTCTGAGAGTTTGAGCCCCGCATCAGGCTCTGTGCTGACAGCTCAGAGCCTGGAACCTGCTTCAGATTCTGTGTCTCCCTCTCCCCTGCTTGTGCTCGCTGTCTGTCTGTCTGTCTGTCTGTCTGTCTGTCTGTCTCTCTCTCTCTCAAAAATAAATAAACATTAAAAAAGGGGGGGCACCTGGGTGGCTTGGTCGATTGAGCGTCCGACTTCGGCTCAGGTCATGATCTCACGATCCGGGAGTTTGAGCTCCGCGTCGGGCTCTGTGCTGACAGCTCAGAGCCTAGAGCCTGCTTCGGATTCTGTGTCTCCCTCTCTCTCTGGCTTTCCCCTGCTCGCACTCTGTGCTGTGTCTTTCTCTAAAATAAACAAACATTTTAAAAAATGTACAAAATAATAAAAATGTGCAGACTTTGCAAAATATCCCAAAAAACTGTTCAGAAAGATCTCAGATACATTAGAGAAGAGGTGGGAATGTTTGGGTAAGAAGGATGCTTCACCTCTGTCTCCTTGGTCTGGTCTGTTTGCCATGGAGCAGTCGTGGTGTTTTCCTCAAAAACCAAAATCAAGGCATGCCGTGGTCTCTGCTCAGACCCTCCGTCCTCCAGAGTAGGAACCAGAGCCTTTCACTGTGGCCTACTCACCTTCCGGCCCCTCCCTGCCTCTCCCATGGGTCTCAGCCCAGCCAAGGTGGCTGCGTGGCTCTGTATGTCTGATGCCCCAGCCTTCGGGCCTTTCCACCCGCTGTCCCCCTGATACCCACAGGACGCCCACCTTCGCCTCCTTTAGGCTTCTGCTCAGAGAAGCCCTCCCTAACAGCTCTATTTGAAATAGCAGCAGCCCCCCTTCCCCGCCCCCCCACTTTTTTCCCCCTCTGGCTCTTCTCTCACCTGAGTTATTATCTTACTGTTTTCTTATTGAAGGTCTGCCTATCCTGAGAGCACAAAGGGAGTTTGTTTTGCTTGCTGATAAAGTCTTTTTTTTTTTAAGTTTATTTATTTATTTTGAGAAATACTGCACAAGTGGGGGAGGGGCAGAGAGACGGGGAGAGAGAACCCCAAGCAGGCCTCACACTGTCAGCGCAGAACCTGACACGGGGCTCTATCTCATGACTGCGAGATCATGACCTGATCGGAAATCAAGAGTTGGACGCTCAACCAACTGAGCCACCGGGGTGCCCCTTCAGGCTGTAAATTTTGCCCTAAGTATTCCTGTAGGCATATCCTCTCTGTTTTATCGTATGGTGTTTTCGTATCTTCTTTGACCAGTCAATACTTAGAAAGGTATTTTCAAGTTTGGAATGCATGGGGATTTGCTTATGTTCCGTCTTGCTGATTTCCCACTGTATTCTATTGTGGTCAGAGAATATGCTATGCACGATAGTGATTTTTGGTATTTATTAAGACTTGTTTGTTGACTTAGCATGTGGTCTTTTTTTTGAAAATAGTCCGTGTGTATTCTCTGTCTCATATGGAGTTTTATGAGGGTAGTTTATTTTTATTTATTTATTTATTTTTAGATTTTTTATTTTTCTAAGTCATCTCTACACCAGACCCACAACCCCAAGATCAAGAGTCACACACTCTTCTGACAGAACCAGCCAGGCGCCCCTGTGAGGGTGGTTTAAATCTTCCATGTCCACACTAATTCTTCCCTGCTTGCTCTAGCTCTCAACTGGTGGGAGAGGTATTTTAATGTATTTCACCGTGATTGTGGATTTGTCAACGTGTGTTTGTAATTCTGTGAATGTTTGCCTTTTGTATTTGGAGACTGTTATTATGTGCCTACAGGTTTAAATTCTTTTGTCTTGGTTAACTGATCCTTTTGAACATTATGTAGTGAGCCTCTGTGCCTACCAGTGTTTTGTTTTCTTCTGTTTGCGCCTTAAAGTCTGCTTGAATTGGTCCGTAGTCATCTTCTTTTGCCTCACGTTTTAATTAATTAATTTATTTATTTGAGAGAGAGAGAGAGAGAGAGAGAAACTGGGCAGGGGAGAGAGAGGGGCAGAGGGAGAGAAGAATCTTAAGTAGGCTCTATACTCAGTATGGAGCCTGACACAAGCCTCAATCCCATGACCCTGGGATTATGACCTGAGCCAAAATCAAGAGCTGGCCGCTTAACCGACCGAGCCACCCAGGCACCTTGCCTCACATGTTTTTCCCTCATCTCCTGACATTTAGTCTTTTTGAATCTTTATGTTTTTAGGTGAGCCTCTTGTAAATAACATGGTCAAATATTATGAATAGTGTATAATCATATAACCCTTTAATTGGCAACTTAGTCTATTTTCATTTATTGTGATTACAGACGTATTTGAATTATTTATGTCATCACATGGAAATTGGTTAGTATCTTTTATTCCTTCCCCCAACATTTCTTATAATAATAATTCTATTTCAAAATTTTAGAAGTTGTCGATTTCTGGCATGCATCTTTGATTCAACAAAGCCAAAAATTAGTCCCAAACGAAACAAGGACCTTGGAACCCTTCTTATTTTTTTTATTTTTTAAAGTTAGCTCTGTGCCCAGTGTGGTGCTCAAACTCACAACCCTGAGATCAAGAGTCACATGCTCTACTTCCTGAACCAGCCGGGCGCCCCTCTGCCATCAGTCTTATTATGGTCAGATAATCAGCCCTCGTAGTGCCACTGGTAGCTTTAAACTTCTTTTTTCCTTTTTGCTTTTGTTATGCATGTTCACCGTGATGGTTTTGAAATGAAGACTTACTCTTTTTTTTTTTAATGCTTATTATTATTATTATTATTATTTTTTTTTTTTTGAGAGAGAGAGACAGAGACAGAGCACAAGCAGGGGAGGGGCAGAAAGAGAGGGAGACACAGAATCCGAAACAGGCTCCAGGCTCTAAGCTATCAGCACAGAGCCCGACGTGGGGCTCGAACCCACAAACTGTGAGATCGTGACTTGAGCCGCTCAGGTGAAATCATGACGCTCAACTGACTGAGCCACCCAGGTGCCCCGAAGACTTACCCTTTCTAAACACGGGTAGGGTTTATGCTTCTTGGGTCTTTAAACTTGTATCTTTTGTCAGTTCTGAAAATTGAGCAATCATTCTGTCTTTAAATATTGTCCTTTCCCCATTCTTTCTCTCTCTTTATTGGATCCTACTAGACCTATGTTGACGTTTGTTATTCTCTCTTCTATGCCTTCTAACTTCTCCTTTGTATTTCCTCTCATTTTGGTTTTCTGTGCATTCTGGGCATAGAGAATCTGTTCCTCAGACATGTCTCCCAGCTTACTCGTTTTGATTTCAGCTACTTTAACCTGTTATACAGCTCATTTCCTTTTTAAAATTTTGTTTCATGGAGCGCATGTTTCATTTTTAGAAGTTCTACTTGAGGGGCGCCTGGGTGGCTCAGTCCGTTGAGCGTCCGACTTCGGTCCAGGTCATGATCTCACGGTTTGTGGGTTCGAGCCCCGCGTCGGGCTCTGTGCTGACAGCTCAGAGCCTAGAGCCTGCTTTGAATTCTGTGTCTCGCTCTCTCTCTGCCCCTTCCTACTCATACTCTGTCTCTCTCTGTCTCCCAAAAATAAACATTGCAAAAAAAATTTTTTTTAAATAATAAAAGTTCTACTTGATTCTTCTACACACCTGCCTCCCCACCATGAATGATGTCTTATTCTTTAGAGTTCTGATTCCGAGCATTTTTCCCTTCAATCATTTGTTAAATCATTTTAATTGAATTATAACATACATCTGGAGAAATGTACTAATCATAGATGCATACCTCACCAAATTTCCAAAAGTGAACCAAGCCTTGGAACCAGCACTAGGGTCAGAACTCAGAACATTCTAGAATCCACTGAAGTCTCCCTCGTGCTCACACCCAGTCTCTCCTTCCCTCCAAAGGCCGACACTTTTTATATTCATTTTTTTTTTCCTACAGGGAAAAACGCAATCGTAGTCAGCCACTGCCACAAACTATGCAGTCAAGTTTCCCACATTTGGGGAAATCACAGAGGTCAGCACGTCCAGAGTGCAATGGATAAGCCTAACCCTGGGAAAACGACCTTCGTGATCATGGTATCTCCCCTGCCAGGTAAGTATATATATTCTCTCTCTCTCTTTTTTTTTTTAATTTAATCTCTACACCCAACGTGGGGCTCGAGCTCACGACCCTGAGATCAAGAGTTACATGCTCTTTTGCCTGAGCCAGCCAGCCTATATTCGTTTTTAAAACTCATTTGATGCTTTCAGATCGTTGTCACCTTCTGCTTATTGTGCTCTCTGAGTTTCAATCCGAATTGCGCCCCACCCCGCCCGCCCCGCCCCGAGATTTTGACATTTCTCACCGTAAGCTTATCCTCACAGTGGCTGGTTCTTAATTATCCTTTCCTCCAGTAGAATCCATCACAGCCTGGGTAAAATGGAGTATGGCTTCAGAGCTTTTCCCCTTGGCTTATTCCCCAGGAGTATCACCAGACCAGGCTCGGTATTTATGTCAGCGTTTGGCTTGAGAGTTTCTGGACTGTCCCAGCCCGGTAAACCACGTGATGCTGGGCTGGGAGTTTGGGATTCTCTGGCTGAAACAGACAAGCTTGCTTGTCACCCACCTCCCTGTAGATGGACACATTTTCTCAGGTTCCCCCTTTCACTTTTCAGAGTTCTCAGGTCCACCTCTAGCCCTGGGTGTGCCCCAAGGATGGCTCCTGTCCCCACAAGGGCGCTGAGCATGAGCCCCTGCTGCTCACCCTTTCTTTACCCAGGGACAGAAGCCGGGTGAGCTCATTAGCTGTCATCTGCGGGGGACAGTGCCCTCTTGTTTCTGGCATCTGACGACTTCTCTTTCTTCTGTGCGAACTCAGCCATGCATTTGAGATCATTTCTGCTCTATATCATTGACCATTTTCAGGTGTTTGTGAGGAGAGAAATTTCAGATTATTATAGTATGCAAAATCAGAAACACTTGAAGAGGTCAGTGAGCTGTTGAGCACTTGAAAGGTAGCTAGTGCGGCTGTGTGGAACAGATTTTTAATTTTCATTTAATTTTATGTTTTTATTTTTTGAATTAAAAACAAATTTACATCCAAGTTAGTTAGCATGTAGTGCAATAATGATTTCGGGAGTAGATTCCAGTGATTCATCCCCTATGTGTAACGCCCAGTGCTCATCCCAACAAGTGTCCTCCCTAATGGCCCTTGCGCGTTCAGCCCATCTCCCGACCCCAAACCCTTGCAGCGACCCTCAGTTTGTTCTCCATATTTAAGAGTCTCTTAGGTTTTGTCCCCTCCCTGTTTTTACATTATTTTTGCTTCCCTTCCCTTATGCTCATCTGTTTTGTATCTTAAACCCCACAAATGTATGAAGTCATAGGATATTTGTCTTTCTCTGACTAATTTCGCTTAGCATAATACCCTCCAGTTCTATCCACATAGTTGCAAATGGCAAGATTTCATTCTTTTTGATCCCTGAGTAATACTCCATCGTATATATAGACCACATCTTTATCCATTCATCCATCGATGGAAATTTGGGCTCTTTCCATACTTTGGCTATTGTCGATAGCACTGCTATAAACATTGGGGTGCATGTGCCCCTTCAAAAAAGCACACCTGTATCTCAATTGCTCGGTCATAGGGTAGTTCTATTTTTAATTTTTTGAGGAACCTCCACACTGTTTTCCAGAGTGGCTGCACCAGTTGGCATTCCCACCAGCAGTGCGAAGGGGTTCCTCTTTCTCTGCATTCTTGCCAGCATCTGTCATTGTCTGAGTGGTTAATTTTAGCCATTCTGACTGGTGTGCGGTAGTTTATTATGTTTTTTACGTATTTGAGAGAGAGAGAGGGAGTGTGGGAGGGGCATAGAGAGAGGGAGAGAGAATCCTAAGTAGGCTCCAGGTTGACAGCACAGAGCCCACTTGGGGCTCGGTCCCATGAACTGTGATATCATGACCTGAGCTGAAATCAAGGCTCGGATGCTCAACTGACCGAGACACCCAGACGCCCCTAATTTTCATTTAATTTTAATTAATTGGCACTGAAATTTAAATAGCCACAGGTAGCTTGTGACTCCCACATTGGACAGTCTGGCCTTAGAAAGGAAGGATGAACTCATTAAAGCCCCATGAGCTTGGCAGGCTCGGGTCAGACTCACCCCAGGGTGTGGACCACGGGCATTCCACAGCCCCGTCCACGGCTCTGAGCACCTTGATGGAGGTCAAGTGGGAAGCTTGTGGGTTGGCCTAGATTCCATTCTGTGGATGTGGACCCACAAGTGCTGGATGAATGGGCCAGTCTGCCTGGAGGACAGGCCCTAGGGGGTGCCCCGGGGTTCTGTATTAGGCCCCACCTATTTATCTGTTGAGGGCGTGGCACAGAGTTGAGAAGGATTAGGAACACCTTGAGTGACAGTCACGACCAGGACCCTTGTGGTCTCTTCTGCCCCTTAAAACCATGGCTTGCTGTCTTCGCCCCCGACCCCTATTCTGTCCTCAGCCCTTTCCTGACCCTCAGACTCTCCCTGGAGGGCCCCTCCCCTGGCAGGACTGCCCACCCCGGGGCCTCCGTTACAGCCTCACACATCTGGTGATTCCCCCGACGCCCAGCTTCTATACTCCCCACTCTTGACGTGCTTACTCTTCTGATACAAAAGTGTACATACATATGTGTCCACGTTCACATAGAGAAAACGTTTATGAAAGTAAACTTTATGTGCACAGTGGGCAAGATTCAAAATCCATCCATGAGTATACAGTGAGGTTTGTCTCCCCCACGCCCTGGATTCCAAGCCACCAAATTCCCCTTCCCCAGGGCAACGGCTGTCCTTCAACACTGGGAACACCTTTCCTCAAGAGCCTTAGGGATTTCTGTGTGACCTGCCAAACAGCAAGTGCCTGGAGGGCAGGGCTAATCTTGTCCGTTCTCTGCAGGCTCTGTGGGCACAGGAAGGCTGTGATGCTTGGGTCAACCACAGCCATCTGAGGGCGAGGCTCCTGAGTAGTAACAGGGAGTATAATGGAGCCTTAGTGGGGATCTGTGAACCTCCGGCAGCATTGTGGGCCACAGTGCTACCTTGAAACTCCCCCCAGTAGCTTCCCAGGGGCACCAGGCTGGACACAGAGCTCATTCCTGGGACTGCTTCAGATTCTGTGTCTCCCTCTCTCTTTGCACCCCTCCCCCCCGCACTCTGTCTCTCTCAAAAATAAATAAACGTTAAAAAAATTAAAATGTTTTTATTTTGGAGAGAGAGAGAGAGAGAGAGAGAGCCCACGCAGGGGAGGGTCCAAGAGAGGGAGACAGAGAATCTCAAGCAGGCTCCATGCTGTCAGCGCAGAGCCTGACGCGGGGCTCCAACTCACGCTGCGATCATGACCTGAGCCAAAATCAAGAGTCAGACACTAAACCAACTCGGCCACCCAGGCGCCCCTCTAAATTTGTTTTTCTAGCAACGAGCTGAGACCAGAGGGAAGGGAGGGTTTGAAGGGTGCTGAGGGATGGGGTCCTGAAGGGTACAAGATGAGGGTTGAGTCCATCTTGGGGGGTAAAGAGGATCAGAGAGCTCGAAAAAAATAGGGAGAGGGACAAGATTATGGGAAGGAGCAAGTCAGGCAAGTGGTGACGGAAGAGGTTGAGCTGGAACCCCTCCCTGGGAGACCTCAGGGGCGTTTGGTGGGGGAGACACTGAACTTCCTGAGTCCCCGAGGCCTGGGATCTGATTGACTATTTGTATTGTAAAATCCAGGGAGCTTGGCGACCCTGGGGCCACAGGCATCATCACCACACTTGGTTGGAGGTTGGTTGGAGGTTGGTTGGAGGTCACCATCGGGTGCTGACCAGCCCCAGCCTGTCCCGGACACTGAGTGCTCCTACACTGCCAGGCACTCCCAAGTCCTTGCTTACCTCTGTGCCTTTGCATGTGCCGTTCCCTCTTCCCAGAATGTCCTTCCCTCTCGGTCCCCACTGCTCCCACATGCCCACCAGACAACCACCCACTCCTTTTCTATGCTCACTGTGAATGCCGCCGCCTCCAGGGAGCCTCTCACAGCACGGATTCCTCAGCACAGTCTATTGGCGTGTCTGCCTTCCCCCACTGTGCCATGGGTCCTCCAGTCCCAGGGCCACGTGGGGTTCGCTTCTACCCCGTCCACCTACCTCCTGCAGGCAAATGGGTATGCAGCTCATGCTTGCTGAATAAATGAATTTTTTTTTAAAGCTAGTAGCATTACTTCTAGGTAAGTGAGACTTGGCTTTAAACTGTGCTGGTGTGGGGGCGCCTGGGTGGCTCAGTCGGTTGGATGTCCGACTTCTGCTCAGGTCATGATCCTCACGGTCTGTGAGTTCGAGCCCCGTGTCGGGTTCTGTGCTGACAGCTCGGAGCCTGGAGCCTGCTTCCGATTCTGTGTCTCCTTCTCTCTCTGACCCTCCCCTGTTCGCGCTCTGTCTCTCCTTCAAAAATAAATAAACATTAAAACAAAGTTTTTAAATAAAAATAAAAATAGACTGTGCTGATGTGGAATTTGTACTCGCCTGTGAAAGTTGTTCTGAGACGCGGTGAGCTCCGCACCCCCGGAAGCAAATGTCACCCACCTTTAAAGGCAACGTAACAGACATCCACTGGTGTTACCCTGTCAGAATCGCGGTGTCTCTTGCACTGTCCCATTTGCCACTGTAAGCGAGAAAGGACACAGGATCCAGGCTTGGACAAGCATGGTACCCAGCCTCCTGGGGACAGCAATCAATCCAGGCGGCTTGCACGTGACCCAGCAGGTCAATCAGTACCCTTCCTCGCCATTGATGCCTGAATGCAGGGAGGCAAAGCTTCCCTTCCTGGGGTTGCTAAGCTGGAGCTCCTTTGTGAGCCACTGAATTTGATTTTTGTTTTGCCTTATTTTTCTTAAGCCAGTTTGAGTTGGTTTCCATCGCTGGAAACCACATAAGTTTGACTCAATAAAGGCCAAGTCAAGTAAAGTGCATGCTTCTGACTGGTCGGGGTTGGGGGGGGGTGCGTATCAGCTCTGAGCAGTATAGTTTTAGAGGTAGAGAAATAAAATGCCACCCGTTCCCAGTGCGCTGAGAAGTCTGGAGACCACGTCCTGTGTGTAAAATGAG